GACATGCTCAAGACTCTTCGGGTCGGCACTTTGGGTCGAAGCAGCTGCTTTTGCGCAGACCCCTTCGACTGCCCAGTAGGCATGCCCGGACCACTCGACTGCCGACAGCGAGTGGAGCAAAGCGCCATACAGTAGCCTGCAGGACGTTAGAACGTCAGCTCTGGCAGGTCCCTGAAGTCTTCCGAGTCCATGGAACCCTTTGTCTTTTGGGTTAGCCCTGGGCCCCCAGCTTTCTGTCCCTCAGGAATTCCTAGGATGAAACGCCAGGCTCGTTCCCCCCACAGGATGGCACTCATTTTGATATCATTTACAGGAAGATGATGCGGCAGCTAAAGACCGAATGGGCGGAGCTCTCAGATTTCATATGATTTCACCAATGTTTGAGAGAAACATGCTGATTGCTTTGTGAGGAACACATCACAGCGAAATACTGTGAAGATTCCTATGAGAAACCAAACAATCAAACTGTGTGTGTGTGCCTGCTAACAATCAAACTTGCATGCTCATTTTTCCGCTGAAATCGATCGGAACGAGGTCCAAAGATCATCGAGTTTGCCCAGCTGGGACATGTCACAGACCTCCAAGAGGTCCTTGTTGATCATCCCAGTGCGGTGCACACCACCAATGACGATGGCAGCACAGCTGGAGGGGGGAACTTGTCGAGGAACCCACCTAATCTGAGAGGGTGCGTTCAATGAAACGAAATCTTCTTTGCCTTCGTGCTTAAGGGATGACTTGGGAATGAACCTATACGTGTTTTGCTCAACACTTTTCATCAACCAACACGTGTAGGGGTATGGACGCCAAGCTCGAGAGCCCCCTTCAAAGAAAAGGCAATGCTGTGGCCATCCCTGACCCAACGACTTTTGGAGGTCTTTGAAACTGCCGTGTTTGTTTGATGAGCATTCTGGAGCTATGTGTTGTTTTGGTCCGCTACACTGAGGCCGAACGCTGTTGCATTTGGCAGCGCTAAACCGCCATGTTGAGACCGTCAGGGCTCTCCTTTCTGCCCGAGCGGCGGTCAGGGTTGCTGATAGCAAGGGTGGCTGTCTCAATGTGCTCCATGATGTTTGTCCTTCGTGTTTGAATCTGTGAAACAGATCCTGTCACTGTCAAAGATATGACTGTGGGCGTTGAATTGCAAAACCCGCGAGGATTTGGTCTTGAAACTGGACTAGCAGCATTCAATGTTGCTTGCGTTTGTTTGTGTGTGTCCCGGCCTATTTTACTGCGTTTCTAGGCGAAATGCCTCTGCACTGCGCAGCCTTTGGCGGCCGCATAGAGGTGGTGGAATACCTCCTTGCAGCTCGAGCAATGGTACACGATGCATCTGAAAGTGGCTGTGAACTTAGCATGTATGGTGGGATGAGTTGCTGCATTGGCAGCATGGTACAGCAAAGTAACTCCAGAACACGACAGCTTCAAGCTTTGCAAGTCGAAACTTTGGTTCAAGTACAAGATTGCCCTTCCTTCAGAAGCAATTTTGGAGCAGCCCGAGGCCAGACCGCCTTGCAGCTTGCTCAGATTAAAGGCAGCAAGGAAGTGATCGCGGTGCTCAAGAGCAGAGCACCTCGGCAACACATAATATCATATCATATCTCAATACCTAGGATTTCCTTGGTGGCAGATGGAATATATCGGGAACTGCTGGCTGACTTTGAGGGACACACAGCATCATTTTGCATCGTTGACTGCAGCCGGAGGAAAGTGGAGCATATTTTTGTTACGTGTTTTGTTTTTCTATTTTCCTGTTTGGATAGTTGGGGTGGAAGAGAAATACATGTGTGCAAAGTCCTTCTCAATGTTGTTCTCAAAACTGAGAAAGACACGCAACATATCTCAACATTAGGGCATGTGTGGAATAAATGTTGCGGTGCTGTTAGTGTTCCAAAAAAATCAGGCTGGAGTCAAAGAATTCTGAGATCTTCAGCCTGCTTTTGCACAAAGATACCGATAGGGCTAGGGTAGTGGCTAGGGTGTAAGGTGGAGGATGCATGCTGATTATTTTTTTCTGCGGTGGTCCACCCATGCCTAGGCAGAAGATGCTGACAAAGATCAGCGTGAGAAAGAGGTTTTAGATGAGGCACCTGGGCGTTTGCCATTTCCAGTGGGCGAAAGAACATATCAGATTTAGGTATATCATATCGGTAAGAGAACGGACACCGGGCGTCCGTTTGGAGTTGTGTCTCTTCACACATCAGCGTTTTACTCGCTTTCCTGTCGCACCTCAGCGGTTGTTCGAAGTATCTAAGCAGTTTGCATCCTTGGGCCGGAAACGTCCTCAGTTATTCAACAATACCCCACCCTGCGGTACTCGCAGATGTTTACAATATCAGACAGATTTGTTGAAATATATAAGTTTGCTTTTCCAGTCTGGCTTGTCAGGCGGACGCCAGCAAGACCAAAGGTGAATTCCCTTACGACAAGTTGGCTGAGAGCTTAGCTGAAGTTGGTTCCGTGCTTGCTGAGGCACCACGCGACATCACGTTAGACGTAAATCGCGCGAACTTAAGGATGAGCGTGCGCGCGCACTGAGGCCGAAGATGCCTTGTTTCTGATATCTGGCACAACCAGCCTGGATGCTGGCACTCTTCGAAGGATCAATCAGGAAAAGAAGAAGACACTTGCTGGCATTTCTGGACTTTCTGTGCTGCAGTTCAACCAACTTGATGCCCAATTCTTGTAAATGACCACCTGTGTGCCCTTTTTCAGTTTGCAGACGGATTTTCTTTGTTCTGAATGTTCTGATGCGCCGGTGTGTCACCAGAACTGCGGCGACTAAGGATTGGCGAGCCCGAGCTATCAACTGGAACAAACGCACAAGAATTGCTCAATGAGCTGGAGGTGCGGGGAGTATGAAGCATGTGAGCTTTTGGCGACTTGTTTGATTGCCTTCAGATAGGAGTCGCAGGCTACAATTTATGTGCGGCACACCAAAAAATATGTTTGCTTGCCGATTGCCGATGCAATGCCAGGAGGAAGGCTTTAGCGTTTTTGGATGTGGCGTGGGTGAGGAAGACGCCCCATTGTATAGAAGAATCGAGGTGAATGTGGGCCTCCTCAAGCGACCTGGAAGTCATTCAGCCTTACGTGGCTGCGTCCTGCGTTGCCTAATGCTACCTCATGCTTCAGCCTTATGTTTTGCGCAAGACATGCTTCGATTTGTGTGCTGCAGGGCATGAACATAAGTCGGACCAAGGTACAATGCATCGAAACCGCTCATCTCCGATACCGATCTTCGCCTGAAGCGTGGCCTAGGCAAGACAGTTGATCGCCAGGACCGACTTTGCAATTGTTTGAGTGTCAATGGTTTTGCTAAGGTTTTGCTTGGGTGATTAATTATGATCGGCTACAGGATTGTAACGATATTTTGTCAACACATGTTCAAAAATATGACATGTATGTGTTTGATTGTTTTTGTGATACTGTTTGACTCCTGTTTGAATTATTATGTCATCCTCGAAGGGTGGATGCCTCCTTTCCTTGTGCCGTAAAATATGTAGCTTCTTCAGGACCGCTGGTTGATCCATTACAAACACTATTCAGAAAAGACCAAATATGGTGTCTTAATTTTGGCAGGCGGGGCTCAACACCTCTATGAACCTCATGAGTGCTGCCAACTGACATGTGCTGTACTGATGCAGGTACAGTTGATTTCTTTCGTTTATGGGCGGCGTCCGAAGCAACCAAGCAGCAAATCAATTTTAGTGAAGGCTTCAGAGTTAGCATTGGTTGTTCCTTTAGCAAGACTCGTACCATGTCAGCAAGAGGCTTTGTTGTTTGAGATGCGAGGGAAGAAGCTTGAGATTTAGTACCTCAATTGATTCAGTATGGCTTCAATAAGGCTTGCCGCAGGGAGGTCGAGGATGTTCCAGATGGCCGTTGCAGCACTCAGCACTTGGATGTTTGCATCATGCAACGTGACGTTTACTGCGTTGCGTGCTGCATGGGCCATTTGAGGCCTTTTCGCTTACATCGACGGCTACATCCTCCGCGTGAACTCGCCTAAATGTGCCCAGCTTTGGGCTTCGAATGCTGCAGGGATTGGCTATATTGTTTGGTCCATAGGAGACCTCTACGTGGGGTCTTTGAGAGCCTCCAAGCAGCACGGTAGAGGTAAATACTTTTTCCAGAATGGAGACACCTTCGATGGATATTTTCGAGGCGGGCAAATGCACGGCAACAACGGCATGTACAGCTATGTAAACGGTGACAAATTGGAGGGCACATGGGCAGACGGTAAAGCCGTCCTTGCTCAATGCAAATATCATGTTCAAGACGGAAAACTGTTTGAGGGCCATTGGCCAGAGGAGTACATGGATGCAAGAAACGTTCAGGAATATGTTTCCAGCTGCAGTTGACCAACCTCGACTGACTTCCAACCTGGTCCCACTCCAAATCCAACCAGTTTTGCAGCAAACAGAGGTCAACATTGTTCATGGTGGTGAGTCTTTAACAATTGATGGTCTACTTTGGTTGTCTACTTTGGCTGGAACTCTGAATGAGCCAAAGAAGCTCACCATGTCTATATGCCTTTGAGATAATATGTCTCAGTAGCACTTTCTCGCCCTTGGCCACGCTTTCTAGTTTCCTTGGCCTAGGCAGTTCGTTGTTGATGGTTGGAGGCACAAACGACCGTGAAGCGAGTGGCCAAGCTTTCGGAGTTTGGACTTAGAGCTGGGATTTCTCGGAACTCCATTGTGCGCAGCGCACTGAGATCGTTTAAGGCCAGTTAGGTTACCATTGAGCAACAGATGGTTCAAGTTCCTGGCAGGGGTATGGTAGACTGACAATCCAATATTCTGGGAAGTGCGATGTTTGCCAGGTTGGTGCAGACATTTTTCCGGTTCTTCCTGTGTAAAGTGCTGCAATGTACCTTAACTTACATCCACTTGTCAGTAAAAGGCTTTTGGTTTTGTGTAGCCAATGTTTAGCCAATTCAAGTAGTGTTGTAATGATTTTGCAGTGTATATTCTTAAGTAAGATTGGTTTCCCCGTCCATGCTTGTTGGCTTGCGGCCATGTGAGGGTGAGGACTCAGAGTTACGCCATCCATCTCCACAGCAGGCAGGCATGACATTCACAGTGGAGCGCTCACGACGTGGCTTTGCAAAGTTGACAAAGTGTTGTGTACAATTTGTTTCCGATTCATTTTATCAAATGCACATGGCGTATGGTTCATCATGGTCCCAAGCCCAGGTTGCAGATGAACTCATTCCTTGCGAGCAGGTCAGACAAACACAGTTTCGCCAGACTTGGAAGGGCTAAATTTGGACCTGTGTTTGGGTCCTGTGATTTTTATCCTTCCAATTTGGACTTGGCATAGCAGCTACAGATGAGGTGACAAGTCGTACTTCCTTTGCTGCAAAGGGGCAGGCGCTCCCCAGCGTGCTGTCGCCAGGCGCTCCCAACCCGGTCCAACGTGTCCCTGGCGACTTGGCGTCGGAAGGGGATGACCAGTTCGAGGGAATTTGGGGTGTTGCGGGTGCACCACCTGGGTGCGGGTGCACCTGCTCAATCCTTTTGAGGGTTCCGTCGCATCACCAGGGTACGGTCACCATTCAGTTCTTTCAATCAAAAGACCATTGCCATAGGTCCTGTGGAAACATCGTTGTTCAAATGAAGCGTTTTTGCTTCGTAATATTAGGGGGACAGGGACATAGTCACATCCGAGACCTACATGTCTCATAACATATTTCTTGCGAGATTGGTCACGCATCATCAGGATTCAGGATTGATTCTTTGTGCCCAAGGCTTTGGCCCTTGGGCCCCTCAGCTTTCGCTGCCACATCTTGTGATTGCCAAAGGCCTCGCGGGTGGGTGGGTGAGAATTTCTTGGTTCAATGCTGAAGTAGGTCAGAAATGGTCGGAATGCTTTGTAGTCCGGTCAGGGTGGCGGGGTTTGGGAGCTTTCCTGTGAGTGGCATCCTTCAGATCATGGAATTATTGACATTCACGAATTCCTTCACAATGACGATTTCGAAGCTCCTACTGTATATACTTCAATTGTTGGAACTGTTGAATCGATCCGCTTCGCCAGGTACCGTAATTTTTGCAAATAGATCTCTATCTCTATCTATCTCTCATCGTTGGTTGCCATAGACCAGTATCCTCGTGCCGCAGCAACCAAGCCCGAGGCCCAGGTCCGTAGTCTAAGACTGTGACCTGAAGCAAATGGAATCAGTCCGGTACGAGCCCTTGAGCACAGTCCAACCACATTTGGTGTGGGGATGCTGGGACATCATGACGCTATGTTTGGTTTTGGCGGCTACTGCGTATGTCGCCATCACTGTATCAGAGGAACTTGAGCTTAGCCAGTTTTCAAGCCTATGGACAAAGATTGAGCAGCTCAGCCAGGAAAGCTTGGCTCATGCAGTTATTGTTCTCGGCATTTTGGGCTGTTTGATGTTGCTTCTGGGTGCTGTGCGTCCTTTGCGAGGAGGAAAAGGCTATGACTACAAGGTGCACGAAGCAGTGAATTGCAGAGATGCAATTGTGAGAAGCATCCAAAAGATGGCGACCTTGTTTCACGTGGTCTTTGCAGCTGGCGGGATATGCTTTAGGCTTTTGGCCGACGCATTGGCATTAATGGATCTCTATGAGGACCATGATATTGTGGCCTTCTCGATCAAGCTCTTGATGATTGGACTTGCAGCCTCTTGGGCTGCAATGTGGGTATATCCCCACACACCCACAAGTTGGATGTACATGCCTCCCTTGGGCCTGCCATCTGGCCAACTCACTTGCCTCCCATGCTTCATGGCTCTTCTGACACTGTGCCAGCTGCTACCACCCTGCATATTGCTGTCATGCTTCCTTCTCTTCACCTTCTCAGACACGGCAGAGGAGCTTGAGCGAGCTATGGAGCTCTTGCATCTTCCTCAAGTCTTGACGGCGCTGCAAAGGGCTTCCTTACTTACAGAGACGGTGCCAGCCTTCCTCTTCAACATGTTCTTGCTCTCCGGTTCCAAGCTTTCCCAAACTTCCTGGCCAATCCTTTGTATTTCCACTCTGGTGGATGGCTGCTTCTTAGTGAAGACGTTCGCGCAAATTGATCGCTTGGGCCATGTCTCACATTATGTCAGAACCTTAATTGCTAGCTTTCGAGAAGAGAAGCGACACATCCTTCATGCCTCCCAGACTTCCTCATAATGATCTTGTTGTCCCTATGTTTCCTTCCGTTGAGCCCTTCCTGCTGGCTAAGGTGAACGGCTTACCAAGTGTTGTGGGCACAGCACCTTCCTCTTCTGCATTGTTTCCCGAAGGCACTTTTTGACATGGAGAGTAGGGGGTAGTTTGAACCCAACGGATTTTGGGTTGAGGATGTGAACATAATATGTTTTCCAATGGATTTCGGTTCACTTGGGGTTTGGGGCTGGATGCTTGTGCGACAGTTCTTCAATCGATGAGGTTTGCCTTCATTGTGTTTTACCGTGCAGCGACTTTGCTGTCCAACTGCTTCTTACCACTGGCCTTCCAAAACGTAGTGGACATCACGTGGGCTGGATTCCCCGCTGCCTTGGGATTGCTGCTTTTGGATTTTGCACTGTCTCTTGGCATGTGAGAAAATGGGAAACAGATGACTAAAGAGAAAGGTTCGTTATCTCTCTAGGTCTCAAGAACATTTCATCGGGAACCGAGTGGTGCAAATGGGTCAGGGCATGGAATCCACTACTCGGACTTCAGTTTGGAAGAATTTTGTGTCAGGAATAGTATATAATATAGTATAATACTGTATGTATGTAAATACTTTTAGATCATTTCAAGACCGCCTGGCAACTGCCCAAGGGCCTCTTTGCTGTTTTGCTGGGCGATTTGATTTGTTTCTTTCTGTTTTTTTTCATAGAGTCTTGGGCTGAGGCAAATGTTACAGGTTCTAAATGCAACTGGAAATTGGAAGAAATTGCCCTATGCCATGTGGGCCCTCTTGACGCCACCTGAACCATTGCTCCATTCTGGACAGCCGCTTTTTGCATGTAAGCCGCGGATTTGGATAGTGGTGAAGGGGATGCTCTACGCGCTGTGTCTGGCGTTTCTTGTGGTTGAGATTGATGGGCCTATATTTGATTTTGGAGATCCCGTTCTTCATATAGTATTAGTGGCTATGGCCATTCAGTGGCCCTTGTTTGTGGCCCTTCGGAATGCTGCTTATCCGGTCAGTGAGTCCCACTTCAATCTGCAGGAGGATACCACCACAGCACAAGTGCCTTTGCACTTGATGAAGATTTGGTGGGCAGCAAGGAAAACGATAATTCTTTCAAGTTGCAATTTGCAGGACCTTGGAGCAAACGTGGTGGGACGCATGCTGGAAGAAGATGAGGTTGTTGCTGAATTGAAAGTTACAGATAACAACATTGGGCCGAAAGGCGCTGACAGTATCTTTTCGGCTCTGATGTCAAATCAAAATCTGACGCACCTATTCCTGGATGGAAATCCAATAGGCCCAGAGGGCCTCCAGCTGCTACCAGGCTTAGCAATGCCAGAGAAAGTGCCAGGGTCCTGCTCCGGTTTTCGCAGATGTTTGGCGCCATCAAGAAGTTTGGATGCATCGTCGTCTGCATCGTCTGCTTTGCAACTCTTGAGCCTGTCAAGGACTCAACTAGGACCAAAGATTTACCCCTTGGCTCAATTTCTTTCCAACACCCGGACATTGAAGAAGCTCTATCTTAATGACAATGGCCTTGGTGAGGCTGGAGCTCATGTGATTGCCGATGGACTGCGAGACAATTGCAGCTTAGAAGTACTTACCTTGAACAAGAATCAGCTTCATGATGGCGTTTTAGTGATTTTTGAAACTTTGGCAGTGCCACATGGTCGTGGCCAACTCTCAACCTTATATGTGGCTGACAATTACCTCAACAATGACTGCATTGAAAAGATTCTTTGGATTCTTCCACACATCCGGCACTTGAAGAAGATCAACCTTGCAAAAAACTTATTCTCTCTACACTTGCTCAGTGATGCCTTGAAACGAGGAGTGGTGCTGCCTGAGCTGCGTGTGACTGTTCGAGATCAGACTGACAAAGATGCTGTGGAGTGCATGGGCGACCTGGGCACCATGGTGGAGCTGGACTAACGCGTCCAACGACCCGATGGCGGAAAATAAAGCGTCCATCCACCGGAGGTTCCCAGGGAGAACGAAGGAATCCAGACTGCGAATCTGTGGCCCGAAGTGGTTTTGTAAAGTGGTTTTGGGTGGGACCCGGTGGGACTCAAAGTGGGACCCGGATTTTGCAGGAGACTGTACATGGGGTGCACAAAGAATGTATCCAGATGCAAAGAGAACAGCTGGAAGGCTTCACTTTTGGGGCGTAGTTGAGAACCTGGGCGTAGCCCAGGGAGTACTAAGAACTACTCAGAACCCCAACAAGTACTAGTATTGCTAGGGGAGCCCTAAGCTGGAAGGGAAGTTCATGGAAATTCCAGAATCCTGTGGTTTGTTCCGGGAGAGCTCGAATGGCAATGCCCTGGCTTCCTCAACATCACCCCATCACACCCTGACTTTGCCGTTTTCCGCGGCTATATATATATATATTCGGAGATTCAAGTCCGACGTGTTCTGAAGGTTGCAAATGCTTCACACATTCTCTCTCCCTCTCTATACACAGTTGTGCTTGAACCCTGTGATCTGCACACTGGGATGGCATCATGTGGATAATCTATTTAGGTGTTGCCGGTCTATGTTCTTTTCTCTTCTCTCAAGGACAGATCGGATGGGATGCCAGATCTGCACCATCCAGAATCCATTGAATCCGGTTTCAGGGTCCGGTCCTTGGCCAGGAATCCGGTCCTCCGGCGCTTCAGCAGCCGGTCACCGGTCCTCCGGTTCTCGTTGCGTGCTGAGCGCCCGAGCCGAGCCTGCCAAACAGACGACTTGAGGACGGGGCAGGTCGGCAGGTCGTAGCAAAGGAAAATGTGCATGGCCTGGAAGACGAAGACGATAAAATGAGTCTTTGGCAGACCTGAAAGGGAATTTCCTTTACTTCACTCAGGAAAAGTATAGTCTTTGGACTCCATAGGGCATGGATTCTTCACATCGTCGAAGTGGGATTCATCGATCGATGTGTTTCTGTGTCAATTCTTTACAACACCATGTCATCTTTACAAAGGGTGCCGGCCAAAAACGAGCGAATGCACTTGTGAATTGCAAAAGGAAGACTGCGGGTGACAATGCTTTGTTAAGCTGTGGAGTGTACCTTTTGGCAGGCAGCACTTGCGTCCTCAGGTAGACACTGGAAGGGCTTTAACTGTTTTGCAAAAATCTGAAACGCTACCAGGTTGCTGGTTGCTGCCACTGCAAGGTTGCAAACATGTTGCTCCGTAAACAGCATTTGCCACGTCAATTGTACGTCAGAAATTCCAAGTGCTGTACATGCCACACAATTTATCATCACAGTTGCAGCGTTAAACGTCACCAGAACCAGTGCCAAAAGCCATGCTTAAAAAGCGATACCGTGACCTCTAGTGTGACCTCTAGTGATGGACCGCGAAGAGCAGCTCGGTCAGTCCGTCCAGGACCTGAGACCCAGTGCACTGTGGAGTCTTCGAAAAGCGGATTTCATTGTTATCACGAAAGCTAGCCTTAGCTAGCTGGAGTTGCTCTTGCTTTAGCAAGTTAAGTGACGGGGTGGACGCACCTCAGAAACCTCAAATAATTGATTAAATCAATCTTATGGACCCCCCCCCCCCGCGGTTCGACTCCCCCCTGCGCGCGGTGAGCGGGACCACCAAGCAGCTGCAGCACACCAAGCATCCGCAGTCTACCACCAAGCAGCTGCAGCAAACCACAAAGGAGCAG